CCATATAATTGGTTAACGGGGTGTTAAAGTGCGACTTACTTGGGTCGATGGCTAAATTGGTTAACGTGGTTGTGAAATGGGGTGTTAAATTGCGACTTACTTGGGTCGATGGCTAAATTGGTTAACGTGGTTGTAGGAGGGGGTGTTAAATGAGTGAACACGTACACACGTATGCGAAAGGGCGGCGCTGGTCGAAGGGACGTCGATCATTGTGTTTGTGGATTCGTTGGAATTCATTTCACCGCGACCTTGGACGTCGACGCGCCGTACAAACCAACCGACGAGCGGCAACTGAGCGAGCGAGCGCCGACCTTGAGTATATACAGCACGACGGCGCATGCACTGTCAGCTGTTGAATGTTCTCGAAGCGCGACGCCACATGCGCGTCCACTGGAGAATCAGGAGAATTGTAGATGTCGAACGCGGTGTGTAGAGGAGGAAGGGTGCACAGATGGTGGAGGAGTGAAGCGCGCGCGTTGTGTAGAGGAGGAAGGGATGCACAGATGGTGGAAGAGTGGGCGACGGCGCGACGGCGCATGCGCGCGCGTCAGCTGTCGAATGTTCGAGAAGCGGTGTGGACGGCGCGGACGACGCGGACGGCGCACTACAAGGCGCGAGTATAAGATGCTCCGCATCTAAAACGCGAGCACTCTATAGTCCGACGCCAGGCGCGACCAGCGTCCGTGTGCGCGGCCCGACGGCAACTGGTGCGAAATGTGGCATGCTGCGTTTCGCGCCGATGCGTTACCGAGACAACGCTGCGTCTCCCTCTTTTTGTGACGGAGGGACGCCGGACGCACTGAAACGCACATGCGTCAAATCAACGCATCGCAGTGCACGCCTGCGAGTGTATGGCAGGACCGGCGCCTTGCGTGGCAACGCCTGCATGAGGCAACAAAATGAACGCCTGAGAGCACGCGCACCACGTCACGTCAAAATATATTGACGCCTTTACTGTGGCATATAGTCATGTTCTCAAAAGACACAAATCTCATGATTATCATGTTTGCACCAATCACATACCTTCATCGTCCATTGGCGTCACGTAATACCAAATTTGTCATATGTGAAGCTAGCGCATCGGCCGCGAGTGCATCGTCACTGTGCCATCTAGTCATTTTGTTACATGACACGCATGTCATGATTATCATGTTTGGATGTGCCATTTACCTATGTCATCTATTCGCGTCGCGTAATACCGAGTTTGGTACATGTGAAGCTAGCGAAATAGCCACGAGCACATCATGAGCGTAGCATGTACTCATGTTGTTGCATGACACGCATCTCATGTTTATCATGTTTGCACCAGTATCATAGCTACGACATCCATTCATGTCCGTAATACCAAATTTGGTATATGTGAAGCTAGCGAAACGGCCACTAGTGCATGATGAGCGTGGCATGTAGTCCTGTTGTTACATGGCACGCATCTCATGATTATCATGTTTGCACCAGTCACATACCTTCGTCATCCATTCACGTAGTGTAATACCAAATTTGGTATATGTGACGCTAGCGAAACGGCCGTGAGCGCATCATGAGCGTGGCATGTATTCATGTTACATGACACGCAAGACATGATTTTCATGTTAGGGTCTGTCGCTTGTGTTCGCCATGCAATCATGTCATACCGTACCAGTTTTGCAAACTGCCATTTGAACGAAACCACCGCAAGAGCTGCAGGACCATGAAATGTAAATCATGACGTTATGACATGAATGTCATGATTTTCATGTTATAACTACTCAAATAAATATGTTCTTGGTCTGCCCTTTCATTGCCCAGTCATGTCGGGATCCCAGGCAATGAAAGGGCAGACCAACTCGCTGCAACAGCAATAGAGATGCGCGAGTCAAAAACCAACATACCTGCCGGAGATGGGATTCCAGCTGTTCGCCGGGCCACCGCCTTTCACTGGCAGCAGGAATGGCAATCACGACAAAACAACAAACTTCACCTAATTAAACCTGTTCTTGATGAATGGAAGACCTGTCTTCATCAAGCACGTTTTATCGAACTAGTTATATGTCGACTACGAATAGGTCATACGCACATCACACATAACTATCTATTGGCAGGCGAAGAAGCCCCAACATGCGATAAGTGCCAGGAGCAACTAACTGTAATGCACATTTTAATAGCTTGACCTCATATGGAAACATTAAGAAAGTACATTTTCGTATGTTTTACAGGCTAAATATTCCCTTTCATCCAATGCTACTCTTGGACGATGACGCCCTAATACCCATAGCTGATGTGATCAGCTTTTTAAATGAAGCACAACTTCTGAACAAGGTCTGACTACACTAAACTATGCTACCACTAGACATTGCAAAACTTGACTGATGTGACTCGTAGCACAGCCTCTTCGGAGAGGCATCTGCTGCAGCTGGAATTTACAACGAGGCACTTGCCTTCCGGCCCTTAGGTATAAGGACACGGGTATGGCATTAGTGCTATGTAAAAGCCGTTACGGTTTTGACATAACCTCATGCACCAACCATACACATTGACCACCCCGAGCATCACACACATAATCTTAGAAGAGATATATACTTCACGCGTTTACGGAGCCACTCCTTTTAGGCCTTTATACAGCCACGCTTCACCGCTCATCATATCCCATATGTCATCGCCATCAAGACATTTCACAGTCATTGTCATAGCCCTGTCCGCTGTAGGTATTCTCACCATGAGTTTAGCGCAGCATAGCCTTAGTTGCTCTTGCGCCACAAAACCCAACATAACTAACTAAATATGTTCTTCATACAGTCTTGTTATGCCATACCAAGTTTGGTATCGATACCATTAACGAAACGGCCAGGACAGCGAAAAGTCGTAGGCAGCTAGATAGATAGATAGCTCAAAGTCGCCGAAGTTCGCTAAGAAATGCTTCGCATTCAACACGAATGACACAAAGGGATTCGAACTCCCGTCAACCTAAGTGTCAGCGGATCATTTTACCATTGAGCCACGCCGGTGCTTAAACTTCTTCGCAAACTTGCCTTTGACAGGCTTAATATCGGGAAAGCAATGGTGTTAATGTTAGTACTAAAGCGTTTTACCCGGTGTCGCAACCCGGTGTCGATTAACACGAATTGCGCAGCGTGCGGGTCATCAAAATCTTGATCTTGTCCACCTATTCACTATGGCGCGTACCCTCTGTGGGGGATTGTAGAGATTACAAAATGTTCTAGAATAATTCTTTATCACAGTCAGCCACACAACAAGAAAAAATTCCAAAAAGTTCCTTTCAAGAGTGCAGCGCAACTACGGTTCTCGAAAAATGAAGAATGGCATAGTGAATGCCTGCCTACTACACAATGAAAGCGACCGAAAGAGTGTTAAAAAAGGCTTTGAAAGGCCGCTATTCCAGCTTTCGCTGTGACAGTGCTGTGGGTCCCACGTGGACCTGTCATGTTTTTTTTTCATAACTGCGGATGTGGCGTAGACTTGGGGGTTGACCTATGCCAGCCACGTAGCCTGTTGGGGCTGCGTAAAAGAAATATGTCCTAAAAATTTCCTAATATGGGCAGACGAGAGTTTTCTATCATAATTACTTGAAAGGTAAATCGCTCTATATCTACCTATCAGAACAGCGGTGGCGTTGCAATAAAATTTTAACGTGAGGAGGACAAGGGAGAAATTCTGCACGCCACATATGCAAAAAGAAAATCTCGGTTACAAGAATGATGGCCCAGCCACAATAGTCCCAGTCGCGTAATTCGCATTCGTGGACACCATTTTCTCAGTTCTCTATAAAACAAAAATGAAGCAACAAGATAGTTATTGCGTTGAGAATTAAGTGTACCGGCTCTTCAACAAAATGATTCCCGTGGATCATAGGAGCTAGATATGCTGGAAACTTACATCAAGTTTTACCACTGTAACACTGGGATCGGCGGTGAGGGTGATGACGTTGCTCGGTGGTGGAGATGGTGTTCTCATTATTGCACTCAAACAGAGGGGACCAGTACGCAGACTGGTTGTGCTGGCTTGCAGGAGGTCGGCGGTGATTTATCAGAATACCGTAGCCTCCACCATCCACTGGATGCGGTGTTGGTCTGCTGACTCGGAAGCACAAAGGAGTAACTCCAATGACTTTCATTTGTTTTGTTGTCTGTGCAGTAATGGAAACTAGAGACATGCAGCTTTCCACACCTCCTCTGATGGAGCAGGAGTTTTCCTGAATATACAGCGCTAAGCTGCCAACATTGCTCATCTTCGGCCACATTCATATATTTGGTGTGCACTCCTCGCACGCACTGCATCTCTCGGACACGCTTTTTTGTTTATTATTAGGATGACTGAATTCGTGGTCTGTCTCCGTGTGTTTTATTACATTTTCATTCCAGTTGCCGTGAATCACGGGATGAGATGAACATTTGCAACGTGTTTACATGAAGAAGCGATCGTGTAATTTGTGTACAACTATTCGTCTGAGTGCGCTGCCCAACGCTCTCAGCACCGTGATTGACTAACCCAACCAATGCCACCATGTGAAAGGCAAAGAAAATATTTTGAGGCATGGTCTCAGTTCTCGTCTCATGTTACTCGGAAATTTGATGTATGCTGCCGTCACCTTCAGGGGCCATCCTCGTACTTCTATGAATCAACATTTGTTGAACTACACATATGTTTCTCCCTGATGAAGTGGGGCGTGAGCGTTAGGTGCAATTTGTCGGAGAGAGAAGTTCGAAAAATAACTGATTGTTGTCATCATTGTTTGCAATTGGCTAATGCAAGCTTTCTTACAGCGATATATCTTATGTTTACATTAGATGCCGTGACTAACTATGGAGTTGCTGTTTAGCCTCCTTTATTCAAGTGGGATTACGGCGATTGAGCTAGACCAACCAAAAATTAGTTTTGTTACCTGAAGTCTCTTTATTTCAAGAATAACTTAGTACACACGCTTCTTGCACTACCAAAACATAATTGCAATTCAATGAGTAGTTCTTTTCATGACACAAGTGAAAAAGATTCACCTTCCTTAATATAAATAATTCAATTACCGACACACACTGAACGAGTTTTATTTGAATATTGCACCATAAAAGCCTATGGCGAAGCCTTTTCTTGAAATTCAATGTTTCCTGATCACTGTTGGTTCATGCATCGGGCCTCAAAACTTCGTAAAGCCAATGCATGACAGCGTTAGTCGCCCCGCTGTCTTCGAATTCCAGGTCCTTGTTGTCGCAGAAGCATGCCTGAGAACAGCCAAAGAGAGATATACAAAAAAGGTGAAAATATGCACGACAAGTTTTCCTTCTCCATGTGAGCCATGTGAAAAAAAAAGAATGTTTCAAAAAAAAACGTTGATGGCGTGACAAAGCGTTGGTTTTGGTTTTACTGAATCATCCTTGCCATGGTAACGTATAATTACGTGGTGGAGCTTACAGAATTGAAGGTGATGCGTTTCGTAGTTCAGTCTATCATCATCATCATCATCATCATCATCAGCTTGACTATGTTCACTGCAGGACAAAGGCCTCTCCCATGTTCCGCCAGTCAACTCGGTCCTGTGCTTGCTGCTGCCAATTTATACCCGCAAACTTCTTAATCTCATCTGCCCACCTAACCTTCTGTCTCCCCCTAACCCGCTTGCCTTCTCTGGGAATCCAGTTAGTTACCCTTGATGACCAGTGGTTATCCTGTCTACGCGCTAAATGCCCGGCCCATGTCCATTTCCTCTTCTTGATTTCAATTTCCGTTTGTTCCCTAATCCACTTCGCTCTCTTCTTGTCTCTTAAAGGTTACACGTACCATTTTTTGTTCCCTTGCTCACTGCGTCGTCCTCAATTTAAGCTGAACCCTCTTTGTAAGTTCAGTTCAGTTCAGTCTAGCGGTGTGACAAAGCATTAACCATCTAAGGAGGTGAAGCTCGTTAGATGGGAACTTACTCTGTTCCCAAAACAGGGGAAGAAACAGTGAAAAAAAATTGGCACGACACACTAGATGAAGAAGACAAGCATAAACCAACCGCCCTGCCACGGTGGTCTAGAGGCTAAGGTATACACTCGGCTGCTGACCTGCAGGTCACGGCATCGAATCCCTGCTGCGGCGGCTGCATTTCCGATTGAGGTGGAAATGTTGTAGGCCCATGTGCTCAAATTTGGGTGCACGTTCAAGAACCTCAGATGGTCGAAATTTCCGGAGCCCTCCACTACGGCGTTTCTCATAATCAAATGGTGGTTTTGGGACGTTCAACTCCACATATCAATCAATCAAGCATAAACCAACCAACCTATGCCTCCACCCTAGCAAGCTCTGTTTTCAGTGTTCAAAGAGCTTAGACAAAAAGCTGGCTGTGAGCTTCCATGTTGAAACGCGGTTGTTAAGCACGGAAAAACGGGGTAACTTCAAGAAACGTTTAATATCCTTAGCAAGCGACATCCTTGCATGTGATAAATATTCTGGTATAATAGAATCTAGCGCGTTGTTCTCGGCAAACCATTCACCTGCCACTTAACACCAAGGTATTGCAGACAAACTGAATGAACGAGACTGAAAATTGTAAAACGCTATTTCAGATCCTCGCCAACAATTGTTCATCTTATGATGGTTTCGGATGTTTCTTCCTTCTAACAAATTATGTATATACGTAAGTAGGCAGTGCGCGAAGCTGTTAGGCGTTAAAGGGATAGTGACACAAAATTTCGGGGCCGAGATAACCTGCGGGGTCGATTCTCGTGAAGATTCGTATATCATCTGGAAGATATCAACAGCGAATATAGCTCTGAAAGTATTTCAAATTCATTTTGAAGTTTGCGTGAGTGACCGACTCCAATGTGCTGATGACACCATCGAAGGGAACCACGAGGTGACCCCTTCTTCACTCACGTCACCACGCTACGATGAACAAAACATGTTATGATGACGTCATAACCGCTTTTTTTGTCGCGTTAGTTCTTGCAGTCTGTATTTCTCGGGGGCAGGTTGCGAGTGCGTGGTCGTGGCGCACGCTTAAAAAGTTATTTGTTTGGCGACATTCCAGTCCCGTTTCCTATTCGAAAGTAATTCTGTATACGGACCGTGCGTAAGTGCGCCACAGTTTTGTGTGCTGACATGGTCAAGAGCAGCACAGGCAAGGTGGCGACAGTTGCACCCTGTTTTTGGAACTCTTTCAAACCGAAACCGAAACTTATTTATAATGAAGGGCCTGTAATTATTTATCTGTCGCGTGCTGAAGCAAACGTTGTGTCGTGTCATGACTAACAGACCCACAAACGCATTGCTCCAGAAAAACAAGAGGCAAAGGTTTTTGTGCCAGTATCCATTTAACTATAGTACTTGCTTGACCAACCTTTTTCATGAATTGTCGCGTGGAAGTAGCAATCTGTAACTAACTGACGACGCTTTCGCCCACAGTTTCATTTGGCTCTCACGTCTTCAGTCTCAGAAGATAAGCGCTGCAACACCCACAATATCGGTAAGCATCGCTAGGTATCTGGATACTGTCGAACAGCAAGAACTATTTTATGCATGTACTAAAGAAAGCCAGATGGTTAAAACTACATAGAAATCATCTGATATGCCACAACCCTCACTCAAACAAGGTCGTTTATTTGACACGCGATGCTGCAGCATTCCATGTCCTGTACCTATTAGTGAGGTGGCGTAGGTACCTGTTCGCATACGCGTTTGAAGCTCATCAGCAGATATATGAATACATAGTATTGGGAGGTAAGGTTTAAGAAAGCGGCCTACTTACCATCATTTTCTTAAATATCTTCATTCCCTCAGTGCCTTCAACATTCTCAAATGCTGGCTGAAAAGAAGGCAATGTTCTCGTTAACTCTTCTAAAACAGCATTTTAAAAAACAGCACTATAACCGACAAGAGAGGAAAAAATTGAGGACAAAAAACGAGGCAGTAATATACGTGCTGACTGTTCTACTAGTACTGTTACATTGACTGGTATTAACTTTCTTGTAATTGTGTTCAGTTTGAACCACATAACTGAAGGGGGTAATTTAAAGTAGGTACACACATGCGTGCACGTGGCATTGTATGTGTTTTTCGTCAGCGTTCAGTCATGCAGTTGGACCTTGTCATGAATGCAACCTGCTACCCCAGCAAAGCTCATAAGACGTAAATTGATAATGAGCTGGACTAACGTTTCTCGCACTCCGCCACTGTTACGAAAAGCGCGCGGTTTAGTTGTTCATAAAAAAAAAAACTGTTTCTTCTTCCCAAAAATAGTTTCTGCCAAAACGCATTGAATTTTTTAGAAATCATTCAGAGAATCTCAAGAAGCTATGAGGACTTCGGTACAATCGCATTGTCAACGTATATTGAAGAATTATACAGCGGAAAAAAAGCGATATTTTACTTAAGTATACTAAGAATAACCTCACACAGTGGTTGTTCGAATTTGTGACTCCAGTTTGCCTATGTGTCTTCTTGAAAAGCTGGACAACGATGTAACGTTCCTAAAGTCACGTTTGGCCAGAAAAATACAATTAAGTCACTTTTGGCTTAATTTTGCGAAGCCTGCAAGAAGTACAGAGCTGGAAAGCCGTCTTCGTGTCTCTTGGGTCTTGTTTTTTTTTTCTGCTTTTTTTTTCTTTTTCGCATTTACAGTTTTTTGCGCTTTTTATTCTCTTTATTTCAATTTTTTCTCTATTTCTATATGCTCTATCTCTACTTCTTTCTTTGCAAGTAGTCAATACCACGCGTGTGGAACGCCCTTTTTCTTTCTGCTGGCCTCACAAAACACTCCCAAGTTTAAACGCGCATGCGGATGCCATAAAGTGGACGGAGGGGTGACCGCTGCTGCACCTCACTTGGTGAGAATTTCAACACGGTATTCGAATGTCGAGGGTCAGGTCCATGCCAGCGCATGTTATCTCTTCGTACACTTCATTTTCTTCCAATTACCATCACCATTGCTACAAAATAACATTGCCTATGCTGCCTTCAGACAATTTTGTTCTCACAGACAGTGGGCGTGAATAACATTTCAACAGAACATCTCCACAGAACAGAACATGCACAGACGCGCAGACATGTGTTACTAGGTGCTGCCTGTTTAGAACAAGTTTTCCATGATTACGAGTAATTCGTAATGAACTATGGGATGGCAGTGAGCCATCTCATGTAGAAATAGCAGAGTGTAGAAGGCATTTTCTAGACAATCTCAGTTGTCTGTCTGTTCTAATTAATGTTGTATACAAAAACCAAAGAACGAGCTCTTTAAATTGCTTTTCCTTATCATTTCTAGTACCTGTATTGTAAATACTATCACAATATTTTCAACTAAACTCATTGTGCCTTTGCGTAAACTACGAGCTATTTGTAGTCAAGTGAATATAGTTTTTCTTTTGTAATACCTGTGAACAAGCTATGTCTAAATTGAAAATAAAGTGAAATTTGCTCCTTTTCAACACGTCTTAAGATTCATTAGTTGAAAGATTTGTCGCGCTAACATGTTCTTTTTCGTTGTTTCTGTTAAACTTGTTTCCTCACCTCTTGTTAGGAAATCCTCCTAACATTTCTTACTTTGGGCGCCCTCATTGTTCAGTCACAATGCAGAAAAATGTCTACACCGCCCGGCTGATTAATACACTTTTCTTCACATCAAATTCCGCTGTTTCAGATTGTCCATGTTAGGTAGCTACGTTGCGCTGTACTGTGCAGTCAAAAAGTTGTGGTTTAGGAAAGTTGCTTGTTCTTCCTGCGAGGAATTGCTTGTTCTTACTGTGAGGACGTTGGGACAGTTGCTGTTTGGCTCACTCGTGTAGAGGACGAGGTAACACGTCTTTTTTCAAGGCGAATCATTCTTTTGCGTACTGCAAGATTTTCTGGTATCTATCTATCTATCTATCTATCTATCTATCTATCTATCTATCTATCTATCTATCTATCTATCTATCTATCTATCTATCTATTCACTTACGTCTGGAAGCTCTGGTGATCACCCCGTTAACTTGGCGTGAACCAAAAGTAGTATGGAAGGGTGAGATGGTCTGACGAATATGACGCACTGGTGAAGACATGAATACTGTCCAAATCCCGTCATGTACGTCGTCAAACACATCCCGACAAACAGTGGCACATACCCGCCTGTGGGTATGTGGTACTGCTAGCGTGTGTTTTCCACATGTGATTGGCACTTGGCATCTTCCCAGAAACGACGAGAACACATATAGGTAATTTTAACGTGTGAGCGTTAACAAAACCCTGACATCGACAGTGTTGACCTGAAGAATGCATATAATAAATGTCAGGGTGCCAGCAGGTACTCAATTCTGCGTGGCAATCAAGCATTCTACCAGAGTGCCATGCCAGGTTTGGGAAGTACATTTAAAATAGACCCTAATTTTTGTGATACGTCAACTGTGGTTGCAGTGCCGGCTATCCAATTTCATAAACATTGCAAATGCATTGTATATGTTACAGCCCTCCCGTCGCGTTGACGTCACTTGTGCGCCATGCGCAGAAGCGGATTTATGCAGCAGTGTCCAGGGCTACCATCCTCGCAAGCCCCAGCGCTTCATATCTGCTTATCACTTCCGGTGCTGCTTATACTCATGATCCTGTGGCATCGTCGCGCAAAAGGAAATAATTCGTCATATAAACATATGCAACTGTTAAAAATATGATAGTGCTTGCAACATTTGTACTTATAATTAGTGCCATTTCATGAAGTGTCGCTTAATGAATAATTACAACATGGTAGTCTTCTTACCGCATGCCTCACATAACGTACATTCCGAAGGTACGTGGGATCTGCCGAGTTTTTCTTGTGGAAGGTAGTGCGTAACAGATGGCACTCAACACATAATTTTCTCCGGTGGCAGCTTAATAGAAAAGCTACTAACTCTTAGGCGATGTTCTGATTCCAGTAAAGCGAAGATAAGTATACCACCGAAGCCTAAACTGTGAGTATACAGCTGACGGTTCTGAACCGCACTCGGCCATCTTTTGTCGCCTATGGTTTCTATTTACTGAATTCGGAAAAAATATCGCTTTGAAGCCTAACGAAACGAGAGATTTTGTTTTACACCAAATTCCTGGATTTCTGATGCAAAATTAATCCGTCGGGGCTGTTTCGCATAAACAAACAGTTATGGCAGTACAAAAGCGACAACCATGCAATTCACCTCTTGCAACAAATTACAGTGGCAACAGACACTGAATCTCCTCTTGTAAACAATTTACCAAAAAGAAAAGGGAGGCCTACACGCAAAGTGGCGCATAGTCAGAGCACAAGCTGGAAGAGCGGCATTTCTAGATTCTGTTGTAAACGCTCTTAGAGCTATTAATACCAGTACGCTTGCAAGGTACGAACTACAACATAAATCATAATTTTGCCTGGTTGCGAACCACGCCCTATCTCATTGTTCATCACTCTTAAGAGAAGCGAGGTACATGCTATGCATTCGCAAGACATCATGGGCACTTTTTTGATATGATGGCTGATTACGGTGAACAATAATAGTTGCTGAGCGATTTGTAACGAGCTAGAAGCACTAAGAGACCCGATAATGACGCAAATTGCATTGTGTGACGGCTTGTTACGAAATTCCAATTGTGTGACCCTTCATCATTTTACTTTATTTACCATGCTATATTTACTAAGTTAATGTGGTTGCTTCCCAATAAAATGCTTGTAAAAGATATTTGCACGATCTTTCGAGCACCGCTTTGGCTCTCTAATAAAATTTGGGCATCTCGGAGAGAACCCAGTGGGATCAGCAGCAGTGGAGCCTCCCGAGTGGCTCAAGAGTGGAGCCTTGCTGGCTTTAGGTGAACTTCAGGTGAAAGGAAGCCTGCACAATACTCGCTGATTATGGCGCATATTTTCTTCAGAGCGCGAGAAGTTCACCCAGGGACAGTGGCTTACAGCTCTCCCACACTACAGTACGGAGTGCTGTGAATCGTCTACTACTTATTCTTAACGCAGCCGTCAGACATTCGCTGTAATTTTTCGATTCCTGTTATCATTGTATTATGTTCTATGTTTTTCACCATTGTCAGCCAATGATGAAAAAAGATAACCAGCGTCGCTTTGTGGTAGAACCCTTGATTGACTCACTGAGCAGCCTGGTTCAAATTCTTGTCAAATCCAGTTTTTTTTTTCGTCCTTCATTGTGTGATATGGTTGTTACGGGCACCAGCTATGCCAGCGGTTAATTACGCCACTGAAAGCGGTTGTGGTTGTCCCATCATTCGATGTGAAAACACAAAGGGAACTGTGTCACACTTACATAGATGCCCAGGAACTTTCTGAGAAAGCATTGGCCGGCTATGCCTCTTCTCGTAGCTCTCTGCGATTGAAACAGAACGAAGTAAAGATCGAGAGACTTATGCTGTTCTACCCTATATATATATATATATATATATATATATATATATATATATATATATATATATATATATATATAGACCAATGATAAAGCGAGAAATTCTGTGACCGGCTCACTGGAGCAAGCAGGCATTCCACTTATTGCTGAACTAGTGGAGTAACGGTAGTTCCTTGATAGGAAATAAACTGTTATATATCTGAAAATTACAGGCCCGTAAGGAAGCTATAGAGACATTCTGTGCAAAAAAGCTTCGCAGTTGTAATAAATGTAATTATAATCATAACATATATGTATACGCTACTCTGATGACTTCATCTTCTACAGTAGGGACTAATTTTCTAATACGTTTTAACGTCGAATAAGTGAAAATTTTGGAACAAAACATGCCACCGAGTTCCATAAGCTAGTTAATATTCAGTGAAACTTTTAAGAGAAACTTACTAACGATTACTACACTCCGTAATGTGAAATTAGCACGTTGATTTCAGAGTGCTTAGATTTCGCAATACATTAGGTAGGGAGAGAAAAAAGCAAAGGAAAGGCAATGAGGTTAACTTTGGTAAATCTGATTTGCTACCCTACGTGGTGAAGGGAGAAGAACCAAAAAAGAAGGAAAGAAGAGAATAGAGGTACAATGATACGCCAGCACGCATTGCAGCGTGTAGCGTGCGCATGCGCACAGGCTCCTGAAACTGGGAACTAACACAGAGCACGGGTAGACTTCGACTGTCCTATGTGAAGTACACTGCAATCCATGATGCTAAAGAAGTCTTGCCAGGATTGACTCGAAGGTATCCAGAAATCGCAGTTCGCTTTGAGCTGATGGTGTTGTTAATGCACTTAGGAGTGTGCCCATTGTGCTAATCGATGACCTCCGCACAACAATGACAAGTAGGTCTTCGTCGCGGAGATGCTTAGCTAAATCTTGTGTCTTCTCTTTGTGGGCTTGAAGTGGTGGTAAGGACAGCCGCTCTACATCCGCTGCCGCCCTCCTCCTTTCTGAGTTTCTTCGGCTTTCCGAATATAAGGCGTTGGTTGGTGGTGGCAGGGGTGGAGGCAGGGTCAGTAGTTGTCGGGACAGTGAAGTCAGGTGGTCCACTGTATTATGACGTCGTGGTAATAGTCCGGGTAGGGCAGCCGCATTCGCAGGCCTTCGGTAGAGCCGGGAACGTCCTTTTCGCTTTCTGACAATATCAGTGGCTTCCTTGTGCTTTGAGCCATTCCTTACCATCTGCTTTCTTACGCTCCATTTTTCGTCACTGCTGGACAGCGTCTCGATAAAGCTTCATGTTATTCGTGGAAGTTGCAACATTTCAAGGTATAGTTGCTCGGCAAGATTCTGCACTGCAGGGTAGTCGTCAAGAACTTTGAAAGAGACTTGCGTGTAAAGTTCTGCTACATAGACAGCTTTCCGTTTGCGCTGGGCGGACGGCAAGATACTCTGGGTGGCTGCGTTTAAGCAACTGGTAGGGACTGAACCTGCGTTCGCACTGTGAAATTCGACAGGTGCCGAAACCAGTTAGGTGGCACAAAAATTTGCTGGAACACCTCTTCCTGCACTAGCTGGTCGCGGCCTCGTTTTTTTTCTGCGGAAGTGCTGGACTCCATCTCTACGAACCTATCAAAGTACGAGTAAAATTTTTAAAAATGGCACTACGATTGTAAATCCCTGACGCCGAAGCCCGTAGTGGCAGTTATGTCCCTCGCCATCACCCTGATTTTTTTTCACGAGCGCCACGGGACACAATGAATGGCTCACGAGTAGCAATATACGTGGGCTTACTTCTTACAAAAATTCACACCCATGTTTCTCCGCAGGGGAAGAATAATCTCCGCTTGACTAAAAGTCTCGCACTTTCGCAAATCCGGAAAAGCCAAACAACACCGCTTTCGTCATTTTTTTTTCCTGCTTGTCATACATAGTCAGAAAGTGGACTGCTAACCGGCCCAGCAGTATGGTGACTCCGCTACCATTTATGAAAATTCACTATCAAAACAAGCAAACACAATGTGAGCGAACAGCCTCAGTATCATCAGGAATATCTGGCACCTTCGTTTTGTATGGCTCTTTATATGGCATGCAGATGGCACAGTCCTACAAAGGTGGGCATTCGGACAAGTAGCCACTACAACTATTTTGCGAAAAGGTGTACAGGCTTACGTCTTTTATGTCCAGTATTCCTGCGTAGCACTCGTCGTGATACTCGCAGACCATTTGTACTATCTGTTGAGTAGAAATGATAGAGTAGTGGCAGCAAACATCCACTTCGACATATTGAAAGCTAATACTTTTTCAAAAGATAGAAGGGAACTGTACTGTTGGGCTACTCTAAAAAAACGCAGCCTGTGATGCTGAATCAGGGAGCCCTGCAAGACTTCCTGAGCATGGTCAGAAAATGCTGCCGATCCATAGTCGACGCTCCCGAAAACAAGTGAGCCCGATATTACAGGGTTGCTTGCGGTCTGTAATTTGTAAGTAATTTTGAACTTCACCTCTAAATACTTCAGTTTCCAAATGATGTCATTTGATGCCATTTGATGCCAACCAACTGTGCCATATACCCAAAGAACAAGGCCATTGACTGGTTTGAGCATCGTTAGCTACATAGTTATTACCACCACCACAAGATGCCATCCAGCCACGTTATCGCGTGTGCCCTCGGGTAACACCGAAAGTAACCAACGAGTTGAAAGAAAAAGAAAACAAAAGAAAGTGCTCAAGTTCTTGACGTGCGCTGCTGAAGGGCTGCACTTCTCTTTGTTAACCCCCTACTCACATTGCTTTCACCTTGCTTACTAGGACGAAAGCAGAGAGAAAGCGTTTCAAGCGTGCGACAAGTTCTTGTGGCTCAACTCCTACTTGATGGATCAAAAAAAAATATTTGTAACACGTAGTTCGTGAAGCTTTATACGCTAATAAGCTATTGAATTATAACTCATCAAAGAGCACACACCCCTTTTAAGGGTGGCGTTTAGCACTGGGACGAAAGAAGCGTTGCAACCAAGACAGAAACAGGGCTGTAGACTTGTTAAATTCTTGTGCTATTAATGAGCCTTAATCGTATTGTACGAACAGACGGAGTACTCTGCTTTAGGAAACTTCATCAATACTGGCCATTACTACAAATTTGCAAAGTTTTTTCGAGATATAAAAGAAAAAAAGCCTTCAGGAAAGGGTACCTCACAGTGTCACCATGGTCGATGACAATTCATGATTCCGCGCTACACCTGAACGAGCTGTCAAGATGGGCGTCTTCATGCTACGAGCTCCTAACGCTCCAACCTAGAATTCTCAACAGTTCCACTTTAACAATTTGAGCAAAATTATTTCAGGAACAAAACGGTTACCGAGGGGTTAGTTTTTGTCTGCTCCATACAACAGTATTTGGAACTAACAAATCAGCAAATCAAGGAAATAATTTGGGAATGTTATCTTTAGCGATTACCATGTAAGTGTGAAGAAAGTAACGGGGACGATAACATAACCTGTCACTAGTTCAAATAACGCGTCCGATGCTGTGTAGAGCCTGAAATACAGAAGCGGTCGTCCCCTCGTTTACCTTTTAGAGTATATATTTGCATCTAAATTTTGGGGAACCAGCGCCGCTAGAAGTCATGGCGGCTGGTCTCGAACAGTCTTTATTTCCTTTCTGCTGATGTCACGAAGCACGTTAACGTATTACGAACTGGCAGCTGACAAATAATCCCTTGAATACCCGAATAAGGCACCCAGTCTGCTTGAACGAGACCCGTGCTATGTATGCTGGCGTCACGTGTTTACAGCAGGCAGAAAAACAGGGTTACATACTTCTCTTTATAATTACTAGCGGTGCTACACTGCCAGGATTAGCTGCACATACACACCGCGTAAAGTGGACGGGTCGATGACCACCGCTGTAGCTCAGTTGGCAGACCATCGGACGCGTTATTTTATTGTCACAGGTTCGGCATGCGCCAGCAACATGCTATCTATTTGTCACTTTAATTTCTTCAAATTTGCTGTAAATTTTTAGGTTCTTCAATTTTTTTTGAAAATTGGCCCGTGTGCTCAGGTTTGGTTGAACGTTAAAGAGCCCAAGATGGTCGAAATGAACGGAGCCCTCCGCTACGGCATCTTTCATAATCATAACGTGGTTCTGGGACGTTCAATCCCACATATCAATCAATCAGAAGATTCTTCCAGTGGGAATGTTTGACAGTGAGTCAATTTTCTTAGTGTTAGTGCTGGTGAGTGAATGCTGGTTAGTGAATTTGCCTGAGTGAAACCCTGAATCAATGTTAGTATCCCTGACAACGCATCACTGAACGCCGCGCTCATAAGGCCTATTTGGATAGGAAGTATGTTCAGGTACTAAGATTTGGTGACAATGACCCCACCTTTGCAAGGAGGCTAGCGTTTGCCCTGTAAGTGATGATGACGTCAGCCGCGCAGTCGACCAGCACTTTAGACGTCGGCCGCAGCACCTTCAGCATCTTCGACATTGCTGCGCAAGAGTACGTCGAAGATGTCGTTCATAGGCTGTGAAAAGTTTTATGTATTGTAAATCTTGAACACAGCTGAGATTGAAATACAGAGAACTGTTACAATCCAAATGAATACGATAAAATTAATCCGTAATATTAACATTACTCAGTTTCGTAATATTAAAATACGATTGAATAGTGTAATAGATATGAGTGAACGAGAATTTCCCTATCGGCAACTACCCAATGTTTCGAACATTTGCAAACGGTTTATCGAGTGTGAAGTGTCAACGAATATATTTTTAGCACAAAAAAAACTGCATGTGCAGTGAACACAAAATTGCAGCTGCAGACATATTTCGTGGAGAAATTTCAGTTGCCACCAAAGAAATGGTTTCGATACATGTTTTAGGTGCAACTTTCATTGTGCGAATGCATTCTGGTTGAAAAAATCAGGAAGGACAACGCCAATCGTCACTATGCTTCAGCAAACCGTCATACTCATCTAAACGAATGAAAAACTTGAGAAGTTGGCACGTAACTCACGCCACCTCGTCGAAACCTAGATTTATTCGCTTAACATTTTTTTCTCTATTTGATTTTCAACCTCAAAGGCACAAAGGAACGTAGGAGAGAGCAGGCGTTTATTCGTTTATTAGTACCTCGAGGGTACTGAGGGACATTACATGAGGGTTGGGTATACAAAAACAAAAACATCACACACACACACACACACACACACACACACACACACACACACACACACACATATATATATATATATATATATATATATATATATATATATATATATATATATATATATATATATATATATATATATATATATATATATATATATATAACAAAATAAAAGCAACATAGCATGAGCAATGGCAACAAAATAGAGAAACAGCAGTACAACATAATTACGAGGATATAATAGGGCTTTTTACGGAAGTTTTATAATGCCACCATGAAGGGCACAACGCTTATGTAGTATTTCTGTGGGAGTGAAGGGATAGCAAATCAGAAGATAGGACAGAATGATGAGAAAAAGTTAGAGGAAGAAACTCACGTAAAAACTAGAAAAAAACGTATATAGATGCGTCATAAAAGTCAGCAGCGCATGTACGTGGTCCAATTTTACTCTCTGTGCAGTGTCGGATCAAGCACTCAAGCTGAGCTCTAGAATGGACCGGATTTTTTTTGTTTCGTCATGATGTGTGTCTTCCTTAGCATTAATGGTGTTTTATTAAACTTGTGTATATGTGCAAAACCCTCCTACTGTACAAATGAGCGAGTGTTTGCGATAGCAAGTCGGTATGAATGACTTGCTCCGAATGCGCAAACACAAGGCGATGCACCACTATACCAACTACGGAGACGTCACAATCTATTGTGCCATGGTTATGACGTTATGAGCGGTAGTGGAGCTCACGAACGTTCATGGTCCTCTGGTGTTCATTTTTTGTATCAGCATGACGCTCAATATCACTGCAGCAGCAAGTAAACTACCATATGTATTCTAGGCTTCCCTACTAACAACCGCACTCGGCGGCTAACACTCGAAGTCGTACGAGCCCACTTTGGCGACGGCATGGCTTCAGAACAGACTAAGCTAGAAAAAAGCCACCTAAACAGTTCTCGCACTAAAAGCTGATGGAGACTTTCTCGAAGGAATTTACATGGCAGTGGCTTAGTAGAGACAATTACTATCAAGCACATTTTTTTATGCTTGTGTTTGGCCTCTTCCCTTCTTCACATCAGTATTTCCCCTTTTGTAGGGTAGTGAACCAGATGCTACAGTCCCAGTTAAGCTCCACTCGCTTACCTAAGCTGTAAATATTTCTTTTGTATTGCTCAAGAATAATTACGATCATTCCACGTGTACTGCTAATTGAAGACAGATCTTCAGTGTGTCGTGCCACTGAACGAAGTACTTCACAAATGGGCAATCGACGAAGTTCAGTGTTAGAACGTCTAATGCATACCAGGTCACTCCCGGATTTCTACTAACGACTACATGGCGTATTTTTTTGTTACTAGAGAGTGCAACAGTTCGATGGCGTACACAGTTACAATTGACTCACGAATGAGAATTTCGTGTGAGTGAACCTTTCCGGTAGATTCCGTCAAATTGTTGCACATATTCATATGTAGTTCCTCTGTCAATAGGCCCAGATTTCATTCTTAGGTTGTGGGCGAAGATAGACCGATTGGCCTATGAGGAAATTAACTGAACAATATGCAGTCTTCACGAAGTATCTTTTACACTATTGTAACGGGGTTTATTGGCACAAGTAGCACTTGCACGGTAGGTCTATTGACGCGGAAAGCGGGCGGCAGCAACGGACTCTGGAATCACAGCAATCGGGGCAAACGCTCGCGCTTGGCTCCTCCTGCTAAAGGCGTGACCCACTGCGGCACATATTCTTCTTCCTCTCTACAATACCCTGGCGACGAAGACGAGCCATCCTGGCAAGTCAAGGTGATGAGATTAGGAGTGGGTCGTGATATGGCTTGAGACGACTCACGTGGACAGTCTCACGACCAAGGCATCGCCTGTCTGTAGATGGCGTGATCGGCTCGATCACGTGTGTGACAGGAGATCGACGTTCGACGACGCGATAAGGACCGTGAAACTTGGGGGCAAACTTAGCGGACAGACCTGGGGAGTGGAAGGGAAGTCGGAGCCAGACAAGCGAGCCCACGGCAAAAGTCTCGACTTGCTGGTCGCGGTCGTGGCGGTCTTTTTCGAATGCTTGCTTGTCCGAGGTGAATGATCGGGCCAACTGACGACACTCTTCAGCATGGTGAAAAATTTCAGAAAGAGGGCTGAACTCTGAGACGTCGGGACGATACGGCAAAATGGTGTCAAGGGTGGAGCATGGCTCACGCCCATATAGAAGAAAGAAAGGCGAGAAGCCTGTGGTTGACTGCGTCGCGGTGTTGTACGCATAGGTCACAAATGGGAGAATGACATCCCAGTTTGATTGGTCCGAATTGACATACATGGCGAGCATGTCTCCTAGCGTTCGGTTGAAGCGCTCAGTTAGACCGTTGGTCTGCGGGTGGTAGGCTGTAGAGGTGCGGTGCACCGTGCGACATGCCCGAAGGAGTTGTTGTACAACTTCGGATAAAAAGACACGCCCTCGATCACTTAGTAGTTCACGTGGTGCCCCATGACGCAGTACGAAGCGTCGCAAAACGAAATTAGCTACGTCACGTGCACCTGCCGTACGTAGTGGAGCTGTTTCAGCATACCTTGTCAGATGGTCGACGGCGACAATGATCCATCGATTTCCAGTGGCAGTGTAAGGAAGGGGACCATATAGATCGATACCAATGCGGTCGAAAGGGCGCGCCGGACACGGTAGAGGCTGTAATAATCAGGGTGAATGGGCAGCTGTCTTTCGTCGTTGGCATAATGAACAAGACCGAATGTATTTTCGTACAAAAGTGTACATACCACGCCAGTAGTAACGCTGGCGGATCCGCTGATATGTTTTTAACACACCAGCGTGAGCATGTTGTGGGTCGGCATGGAAATACGCACAGACATCAGATCGCATGTGGTGTGGTATAACCAAGAGCCATTTACGACCATCCGCGTGGTAGTTTCTGCGGTATAGTTGCGCATCCCGTATCGCGAAATGTGTGGCTTGTCGGCGAAGAGCGCGTGGGTATGCAGACGTTGAAGAGTCTGAAAGAATGTTAAGGGGAGATGTTATCCATGGGTCTTTTCGCTGTTCAGACGACATGCTTGTGACAGAAATGGGAGCGATGGAGAAGTTGGTGTCCGAATGCAGGTCTGCGGTGGATCTCACTGGTGATCGTGAGAGGGCGTCCGCATCAGAGTGTTTTCGTCCTGAGCGGTAGACGACACGAATGTCGAATTCTTGTAGGCGAAGAGCCCAACGTCCAAAATGACCTGAAGGATCTTTTAGCGACGCCAACCAACAAAGCGCGTGGTGATCGGTCAAAACGTCGAAACTCTGTCCGTACAAGTAAAGACGAAACTTGCTTAACGCCCAAACGATTGCGAGGCATTCTTTTTCAGTTACGGAGTAGTTCATCTCCGCTTTTGTGAGTGCGCGGCTTGCGTATGCGACGACGTACTCCGGAATACCGGGCTTTCGTTGCGCGAGTACTGCTCCCAGACCAACGCCACTGGCATCTGTGTGCACTTCAGTGGGAGCGCTTGGGTCGTAATGGCGTAGAATTGGTGGGGACGTAAGTAGGCGGCGCAGTGTAAGGAAAGCTTCGTCGCATGCCGGGGACCAGTTAGAAAGATTAGCTGGACCGTTCAGTAGTTGTATAAGTGGGGCTATTATTGTTGCAAAGTTGTGGACGAAACGACGAAAATACGAGCACAAGCCGATGAAGCTCCTAAGTTCTTTGAGTGAAGTCGGCTTCGGAAAGTCGGCTACGGCTCGAAGTTTGTCTGGGTCGGGGCGAATTCCAACCTTTGACACAACGTGACCAAGTATAGTAAGTTGGCGAGCCCCAAAGCGGCACTTCTTTAGGTTAAGTTGGAGGTTTGCCTTGGTAAGACACTGAAGAATGGTGCGCAGACGGTCGACGTGGGTAGGGAAATCAGGCGAAAATACGATAACATCATCGAGGTAACATAAGCATATCTGCCATTTAAGGCCGCGTAAAATGCTGTCCATCATTCGCTCAAACGTTGCAGGTGCATTGCACAGACCGAATGGCATAACCATGAATTCGTATAGGCCATCCGGCGTAACGAACGCTGTTTTGGGACGGTCACACTCTGCCATGGGAACCTGCCAGTAACCCGAACGTACGTCCAGCGAAGAAAAGAATTCGGCACCTTGTAGGCAATCGATAGCGTCGTCGATGCGGGGAAGAGGGTATACATCTTTCCGTGTAATTTTGTTCAGTCGCCGGTAGTCGACACAAAATCTAATCGAACCGTCTTTTTTCTTCACTAGCACAACAGGTGAAGACCAGGGGCTAGAAGATGGTTTGATGACACCGCGCTGAAGCATAT